ATCCCCACGGTGCCACAGACCTTATGCCCTGAAGCCAGTCCCTGAGGTTCCGGGACCCCTTCCCTTGTCCTTGCAGGGGAGCAGCAGCCCCTCTGTCCCCAACCCCGCGGGTGAGGTACCGCCCTTGAGAGCAAAGTTCTGGATGCGACTCCCCTTGGTGCCGTGTCAGCACCTGCAGCAGGTGCTCCATAAGTGCTTGCCAATCGGGTCTGATGCATGGCCAGGTGACCCGAGGCCCCAGGTGTGACAGCTGCAGCCTCGCCCCGTGGCCTCACCTGGGCTGTTGGTCTGAGGTTGGGGCTCAGACTGAGTCACTCCACGTGCCTGTCCCGTGTCTTTGAGATGCACAGTGGCTCTTTGTCCTTTGCTGGGCTTGCCCGGGCTCCCTAATCTGGGTGCCTAAGCCCAGGAGCTGCAAAGAGGTGCCTCCCCAGATAAGGCAGGTGCCCAGGTCAAGGTCCCCAGGGAGGGAGAGTGAGCCAAGGCCTCCGGGTGAGGCACCGGAATGCCATCTGGCCACATCCCACTCGGAGGAATTCGCAATGACACTTGGACTCGATACGCCGAGACCGGCAGTTTTGGGGGTGTGCGTGGAGAACCCTCTAGAGCAGGGGTGGAGGATCTTTTTTCTGCCAAAGGTCATTGGGTATTTACCACGGAATTCCCGGGCCATACACAAGGATCAACTTGAAAGTTATGTTGCTGTGAAAAAAAGCTCCTGGACTTACTGAATTTCGAGTCCTGCCTGCGGTTCCCTAGGCAGGGCCAGACCAAACGTCCCCCACCCCTGCTCTAAACGAACTTTTAAAGAACCGTAGCCTTTCCGTTCCCACGCACAGGAGAAAATATCGGCGACTGAAAACCAGCTATGCATTACAGCGGGACCCATAGGACCCCTTCTTCTAGGTTCTTGATTGGCACTTGCCATATGTCGGGCACTCGAATGAGGAAACATTCAGTATGCTGTCCTTATGCCATAACCCAGGCTGTTGTGTAATCCAGACTGTGCTGTTCTCAGCTACACCAGGAGCGGCTGGACTGTTCTAGAAGCCCAGCCTTGGCCTCCTCTCCTGGACCCACCGTCACAGAACTTGGGGAGTGGAGGAGCCCTAAAGACGGGTCCCCTCACCTCCGTCGTTGTCCAGATGAGGCCCCTGGGCCTGGAGGTGTGGGTGGAGCATCCCTGCGGCTGATTCAGCTCCGGGTCTTCAGGACGGGCGGGCGGGGGGGGGGGGGGGGGGGGGAGTGCTCCTGGGAGGGCCAGGGCACCACCGGGAGGTTTTGCTCTTAGAGAAACCCCCCTGGAGACAACACTGGCTTCCGGGTGGGGGCCCGGGGCCCCTGGTAAAACCCC